TGGATTTCTGGAATCCTGCCTTGGCTCAGGCGCTCAGTGATTAAATGCCTCAGAACAGCGTGTCCTAAAATGTCCATGGCTCCTTGCATAGAGGAAACATTGGCATTCCTGCACTCCAGAAAAAAGCAAAACTGTGCTTCCCAAGCACCAGCACACATTTTTTCTCATCTATGTACTTAATCTGGCTTTAAAATAATTACTTCTTATTCATTGGAAATAGTAAAGTTGGGACATTTAGCACGGCTTTTTTTCATTACTACAACAGTGCTTGTTTATTATGGGAAAAGTAGAAAATTCAGTTGAGTAAAAAGATAAAAATTAAAAAATAATAATATCCAGACCTTTTTCTGTCAAACAGCATTACTTCTATATAGACTTTTAAAAAATATTTTTAAATGCCACTATAATAATTCAAGTAATCTAGATGTTTTAAAAAATTAATAATTTCTCATTCCCACTCCCCAACTCCTATGTTGCTTCCTGAGGTTACTGGTGTTAACACATTGCCATGTACTCCCTACACCTCTTCGCTGTACATACATGCGTGTGTATATTTAGATGGACATTCACTTTTTGAAAAAAAATTTATATTAACTTTTTGTTGATCTGTAGCATGTTTTCTTTTACTTACACTTCACATTTTTTTATTTAGTTTATGTCATGGATAAATTGCTACATCAACACAGACTTCTGGACAACTGTCTCATTCTATTGTATGATTGTACTTTAACTCATTCAGTCATTCCCCTATTGACTGGTGGTTTCCAGTATTTTTCCTCTCATAAATAATACTGCAATAAACATCTTTATATATATATATCACCATTTAATAATGCCTTATACTGCCTTATTTTCAGATGGTTAATTACTTTATATTTCTAAGCTAAGCATATTGTATGAATCCTTTAGATTGATAGACTCCCCAGGCCATCTTACTTGACTATAAATAAATTCCCATATCCAAGCCTACACACATATGTGGGAATATAGAATGCTTTGGCAGACCCCACAGCTTGTCCAGCTCTGCTTCTCACCTTGTCACACACCTCATGTTAGTCCTCCTCACCACCATACCCTGCCTCCGCAGGTCCCTCTCTGTTCCTGTGGTAACACTTGTAAGGCTGAGTCCCAACCTATCTCCTGAAAGCTTTCTCTCATCTCTCCCACCTTGTACACAGAAACTCCCGCCTACTGTGTGATCCCATTGCACTTTCTTTCTCTATTGTAACCCTTTCTTTGATCTGCTTTTGTGTAGAAGTTGGCAGTGCACATGTCTATATTCCCTGATGGGTTATGAGTCTTTTGGGGCAGAAATCATCTGGCCAAGTGCAACACCTACAGACTGGAAAAGAAATGCTAACTGGGTTTAAGAATTTGCCTAACAATGGAAGAGAGTCAGAGCCCAATGTTTGCCTATCGTAACTAAATGCAGCTTATTAAGACAATTTGGGGAGAAGATAGCCATACAAGACAATCACATGTGATGTGTGTATTTTTGACCTTATGTACCTTTTCATTTACTTCTAAAACAGGAGTCAGCAAACTTTTTCTGTAAAGAGCCAGATGGTAAATATTTTAGATTTGGCCAGCTGTAAGGTCTCTACTACAATTACATAACTCAGCCATTGCAGTGAAAGCAGCCATAGACAGTCAACAAAAGGTTGAGTGTGGTTGTGTTCTAGTAAAACTGCAGTTGCAAAAACAAGTGATGGTTCGGATTTGACTTGTGGGCTATAGTTAGCTAACTCTTGTTCTAGACGACCTCTGTGTATAGTTAGACTAACCTGAGTTAAATTCAAATCCTGGTTCTTCTACTTACTGTATGACTTTGGATGTGCTCCATAGCTCTCTGTCTTTTTGAACACTCAAATGAAAGATGAAAATGCCTCCTTCATAATAGACATTTAGTTCAGGGCTTAACACTCCCATTTCTTAGGGCTCCCACAGAAATGGGAGCCACTAGTATTACCTTGTCAAGAGAAGTAGAAGTCTAAATAGAGGGTCAGAGAACACTCAGCCTCTTCTTTCAATGGGAAGTTGCAAATCTTAAGGAAAGGGCAAGTTGAAAAATAACAGGTAGCAGAGACTCTTGGGTGATAGTGACAGGTTTGGCCTCTAAGTCATGCACATTTCTTTATGGAATAAATCAGGTATAAACAGACAGGCATCTTGACACTTGCTCTACAGCAACAGTAATGCTATTAATAAAAGATTCTGGAGATTGCCTAGGGAGCCCAGAGCTATAATGACTATATAAAAGATATGGGTGAGGCATCAGAAGAATTTTGGGTGAAATAGTAATACCTATCTGGCGATTTAGACCTTTATAACTAACACACAAATGAAATATTAATCTTTGGCGCATTACTGGTTTAGTCATTTTTAAACATTTCTCCTGGCTGTATGCAGTAGATTCTTTCAGATGGAAACTCCTTTATGGATTTCCTGCAGTCACAAGATGATGTCCACCCACGCGAGAGCCCATGCAAGGTCCCCCATGGCTGGCTCCAGCTTGTTCTATCAAGCTCACCTTTCCTTGCGCTGTGCAGTTTTTTCAGCCGCATAAATTGGTTAGCTTGTTCAGGTCTTCAAAACACTGCTCCCCGCCCATTTTGCTTATTTTGCTTTTGCTTATGCTGTTCTAGTTTTTCTTTTCTCCGACTCTAATTTTCTCGACCTTTGGAAACCAATCAGTCACCCCCATCCTCATTTTCCTCTGCAGGGAGCTCCAGGCGGCCCAGTGCCAGCCTTGTTTTCCCTCCAGCTCCAGGAGCACCACTGACTATCCCCTTCTTTTGCTCTGCCTGTGATTTCTCCTTTTCTATGCCTTCCATAAGTGATCAGTAAACCGTATGTTATTGGAAATGTGTAGGGTAGACAGAATCCTGGATTTGGAGTCAAAGACTTGAGTTGTGTCCTGGCTCCACCATCGACTCACTGTTCAAGATGGGCCAAGTTATTGAATTTCTCTGAGGCTTGGCTTTTCTATTTATAAAAAAAACAGTACTATCCCTAACTTCTGGAGGTTTTGTGAGAATGAAGTGAGGTTAAGCAAAATGAAAAGGATAGGAGGCCTCAGAAGGTATCTATGTTTCTGGAGTTCTAAGGAAATGGTAACTAAATCTGAATGGTGCACAGGGCTTGGCTTGGTGTATCTCTCTAGCGATGTAATCATTTTAAAACTAGACTGTACAAAAATATGCCCATGATTAATTGCAGTACGTGGTGTTTAAAAAAATATTCAATGAATTTGTTTATTTTAAAGTTTCTTTTAAATATCCCCATCAAAGTCATGTAATGTAGGCTAGCTTCTATTTTTTAGTTTTGTAAGATATAACCAAGATCTTAATTAGCATATATTGCAAAAGGATGCTTCAAGATGATTTGAAAATCATCATTGCATAAAACTTGTAAAATTGAGGGGAAAATACTCAAGGACTTGCAAAAAAAAAAAATACACATAAAAACTAAAATTGTCTTTTCCCAAAATTATTATTTGCAAATGGCTACACTGTGCTACCTTAGTGCATGAGTTGCGCCTCCCAGCATCCCCTACTGACCAGCTCACTCCACCAGATACTCACTGCTTAAATTTACACCCTCTTTCTACAATATATATATTCTTTTCTACAATAATGTAAATAAATTCTGATGATATATATGTAGAGTATAATGCAAATTATATGTTTTTAACTAATGATAATACCCCATACGTTTTTCCGCATGTCCATGATGCATAAGAGTTTTATATTGGTTTTTAATGCATTGTTTCACTAATTGCTCAGAACAACCCAGTGAGGCAGGTGCTGCCTCCATGTCACTGATATGAAGTGCAAACTCTGAGTGTCTAAATATTCACTCTGGATCGCAAACCTAGGGGCTGGTCCTGGCCATGAACCCGAGTTTTCCCACGCCAAGTGTATTGTCTGTCCATTGCACCACTGTTGATCGATCAACTACCTGTGCTGATTATTCTCCTCAGTAGCAGGACAGGACCTACTATAAGGTCCAGAGATGGAATTTCAGTAGAAATTATTTCTCAGTTTCTTTCTTTTTTAATAAAAATTTTAAGGATTAAGAAATATCTAACTGATGATAGAATGTTTCTACCATGACATGCATGTATAAACATATAGATAACATTACTTCACATTTATGTACAAGTCATTTATGTTTCTATGTAGGGTTTTGGTTATGGAATCAGTTTCCCCATCTAACACAGAAATTGAAGCACATGACCAACTCAAAACCTTGTCAGGGAGAATAAAATGAAAGATTTGCTGTCCAGGGGCAATAAGAAAATATATGTGTAAGGTGATTTATTAGTTTCATTAAAATCATAAATATATACAAATAAATTATTCTATCATCTCATAAGTTGGTTCTACCTAAAATTAATTACTTAACTAATTAGCAACTTGGAAATGTTTTATCTTAGAAACATTCATATTCATTATAAAGTATAAGCCTCAAGTTTTAATAAAATTCCATGATGAAAGAGTTACAAAATTAGGTCTTACTACATAGTGCAGCATTTTAAAAGTTAATTAATTCTCTGACATTCAGCAATGTAACTAAATTACTTTATACAGTTGTTTGAGCACAATGCCTATAATCTTTTGATTAAAATAATGAGCCTTAAAATCATCAGTAGCAATTATTATTTGCCCATCTACTGCACCATCACCCACCATCCCTCCTAGCTCTGCCTCAGAATCTGAAGAGATTATTCTCCAGAGAACTTGAGAAATGTTTTTGCTGTAGTAGAATGAGGGAAGAAAGACTTCTAAGTTTTAGATTTCAAAGTCCATATCTGAACAAAAGTGTATTTTTTAACATCTTAAACTGAGGAAAATTTCTAACAAGGCTCTCTGCAGCAAAATACCTGCCAGTTCACTACGGTTTACCCTGTGGTTTCTATTTAAGTTTGTGCTGCTATCATGATTTATTCCTACCTCACAGAATAATGAATCTAGATTTTATTTCTGTTCTTTGCCCAGACTTGTACAGCAGGCAAAGTGTTTGAAAATCAAAGGAAAAGAAGATATTGACTTGGATAATCTCTTCAGAGGTAAAAACAAATACACTAGCAAAAACACAGAATATAATTTTTGTTGTGCAAAATGTCTTATTTGTTTGACTGTTTGATTTTATCATTCCAGTAGGAAAGGGTGGAAGGAGCCTGACACTAGAAGTTAGGAGACTTGTACTACAGTTCCAATCCTGCAAATAATAAGTCCCGTCACTTTACTCCTAAAAACATTAATTTTCTCATTTGTAAAGCAGAAGGACTGGATTCTATAATCTCAGAGATTCCCACTCATGATAGAATGAGTCAAACCCTGCTGAAGTTAGAGTCTCAGAGCCCGAATCCCTCTCTGCCATCCACAGAAGCCATGGAGGGGAAACCAGGAGTGTCTCACTGCATTTGATAAGTTGGGAGACTGGGAAATGCTCATTAGTAAAACAGGCAAGAAGGTTGTTGGGGAAAAAGTTGAACCCTCACAATTGAAGAATCTGTGGGAATCTAGGAAAAATTGCATGCTTTCATTTAGTTGTGCTTCTTTCCAGTGAAAGCTCACATAGACAAAATGTCGAGGTTAGTTCATATTGTAACAAAATAAGGCATGAGTTTTCACTGGGTTGTGTTATTTTAGTGAAAAAATTTTCATTTGGTCACATGAAAACATTGATAATTTCTAATTAGTATCCTGTCTTCAGCCTTGGGAGCTCTATACATTTGTGTCTCCTGGAAGATACAGGAACTCAAACTACCTTCTAGAGGAGAGGAAAAGTAGTGCATCTTCTGCTGACTTGGTCAGAAGTGCAGCAAATGAGCCCAGTGTGGAGGCACTGCACCCATCTCCGATAAAATCACCTATTTAAGTTTTCTTAAGAGAAAGAGAGGGTGCTTGGCAGCCTCTAACAGAAGAGCTGGGAGGTCAGGGAATAATGCTGACCTGCTCACTTCAGGCAGGACAAAACCCATGTGTTAGAGAAACCCTTGATGTCATCTCAGCCACACAGGAAGAGGCTTTTCTTTTCTTTTTTATTTTTTTCCAGAAAAGGGAGGACCATCAGGTTACTTTGGTTTCATTGTACAGCTACATGCTTCCCCTCATCAAAAGAGATTCTGTGTAATATGACAGAGCTGAATCTTGCTTTAAATAAAGCAAATAACCGATATTTTAGAAACTACTCCATACAAATGTTCTCATCCATCTTACCAAGCCTTTATTTTGTAAACAGCATGTTTTGGAGTGATGTGAGAAGTCATTAAAAAGTGCCAGTGTTTTAATGCATAGTTTGACACTTTTGAAAATATCTCCAAAGAATAATTATGTATATCTCCGTTAAAACAGATACACAATTTTTATAATTCACATAGTAAAAGTAGTAATGAGGATCATCCTTGCAAAAATAGAAAATATCACTAGGAAAGTGCATTTGCATAATATGAAAGATGAAATCTCCAGCTTGCTCAGAATACACTTGTTCTTTTCTGCATCACTTATAAAACGTGTACAGCCATATGCTTTTATTTATTTGTGCATTCACTGTGCTCTTTAATTTAAACGTACTGATTTCCTCACAGCAGAGGTCTGTGGGTGCAGATATGGCATTCATGTCAGTAGAGTGAGCCTCAGAGCAGCCAGCTCGAGGCAGAGCGCACAGCTGCCTCTGGGCCCCTCATGCTGGGTCGTGTCAGGGAATGCAGTCGGGATCCAGTCTGCCTCATAGAAATTGGCAGACTGTAATTCCATAGTGTACCCAGAGTGACTCTTCTTCATATGGGACTAATCCCTGTTATTATAATTAGCTCTGCTATGCCTCTAACCTGGATGAGACAAAATAATGAGAATAAATATGTTACTACTGTGGTAGTAAGTGGTTATTTACTACTTACCTTTTCTTTTTCTTAAGCCTGTAAATCTGAGCATAATCTCCCGTCCTTACCTTTTTTTCTTTTTCTTTTCTTTTTGGTGTAGAGATTTTAATTAATGTCATCTTCATTATTGGAGCCTTTTTTAAAAGGAAAAGTGTGCAAAACCATATTTATTTTAAAAAGCATTTTATTCACCATGTGTATGCTTGGCATATGTAATTTAAAAATCTTGTAGAGGCTACCCATTATTTTTAAGTATAATTCTTAGACACTCAGTACTCTTTGTATCCCATAATATTGTATAAAAATTACATTGGATGACAGAAATTTTTAGTTGCTTGATAATACTATAAATTTGTTGAGAAAAGCACGATTATCTTTAAAGGATATTTGGGAGCAAATTTGACAGGAGTAAGTTGAAATTCATCTCACTAATCTAAAGGTTTTCAGGTAAGCTTATTGAGAGTTATAGCCAGGACTTGACAAGTGGTAATTATTATTCGTGCTTTTTTGTTAACTAAAATAATACATGAACATGGAGTTGATATGTTCAGCAACACCACAAATCCCTTCTCCAGAATGTATTTGGGCGTCTGTGCCTTTGAGGTCTTTCCTTTGCTCAGTGAGTGTTCCACAGAGAATGGGAGAAAATCTGCTCCTTGAACACAAGTTGAGTGAGACTTATTAAAGTGCTTTTGCATTAGAGATGAAGGATCTGCTCATCTAAGTGCTGTTTTCTCTGCTTTGTTAAAAGCTCCTTGGTCACTCACACAGATTTCACCTTCAGGGCCACTGCATTGTACCACCCAGGATATACCTTTGAAATTGTGGAAGGTTCAGATGAAAGGTGGTAATTTTAAAATATTGATTATTTTTGGTCTCACATGTGTAACTAAAGCTCATTTTTTTTTTTTAAGAAATCCCTAACTGTCATAATGAAAAATAACAATTGAATGAGATAAGCGTTGCTAATAAAGCCTTCACGTATATAATAATTTATGTTTTTATTTTCTTTGCCAGTATAGAATCATATTATATTTGGTGGTCTGAAATTAGCTTATTTTCCCCTCACATATTGATGATATATTGGAGTTATCTCTCTAAATCAATACATATACATTTACCTGATTCTTTCTTTTTTAAGTAAAAATTGTAGCCCTATGCACAAGAGATCACACCCATGTAACCACCATTCAGGTCAAGAAACATAATCTGATGAGAAGCCCCTATAACTCCCCCCATCAGCTCCCCCTGCTAGTCACTGTTCTGATTTCCCTTAATTCTCACTTACTCTTGTCCTGTTTTAAACATTTTACAAATGAAAGAGTATGTTATATATCCTTTTATGTCTGACATCTTTTGCCAACATTATGTTTGTGGCAGCCATTCAAATCATAGTTTGCTTAGTGTCATTGCTGCATATTATTCAATTTTGTGAAGATACCACAATTTATTTATCCATCTTAATGTTGTTTGCTTTCAGTTTTGCACTCTTACCAATGGTGCAACTAGGAAAATTCTATGATTTGGTGGATGTGTGTGTGTATTTCTATATGGTAAAAAACACTATGAGTATTATTTCTGGGTATTTGGGTTTACATAAATTTAGTTTCAGGAGCTAGTGCTAAATGGTTTCACAAAGTGCTTGTACCAGTACACTCCTACCAGCATAGGATGGAAATTGCATATGTTCCACATATTTGCCAATAGTTATTATTTGCCATTCTTTTTATATTTAGAATTCTTTTGGGCTTAAATTATGCTTTTAAGTTTGGTTTTTCTGAGGCCTAATGAGCTTAAATATTTTCATGTTTATTGGCTATTTGAATATCCCATTCTGTGAAGTATTTTTCTTTTAGATTGCCTTTTTCTTATTGATATGTAAGAGTTGTTTTATCAGCATATGAGTTCATGAATGGATAGATATTTTGCAGGTTTTTTCCTACTCTATCACTTGTCTTTTTACTCTCTCAATGGTGCCTTGTGATGGATACACATTCCAAATCTTAATGTAGTCTACCAAACCTTTCTATTTTGATTAATGCTTTTAGTGTCATGTTTAATTTTTTTTTTTTTTGCCTATTTTATGTTCATGACTATATTTTGCTATTCTTTATTCTAGTCTTTTAAAAAATATTTCACATTTAGATCTACAGTGCATCTGGACATGATTGTATACATAGTATACCATAAGGGTAAAGAGTCATTTTTTCTATGAATATTCAGGTGACCCAGCACCATTTATTAAAAAGTTCTTCCCCTCAGTAGCATCAATTTGTCATAAATCAAATAACCACATATGTGTGGGTCTGTTTCTGAACTCTGTTCTCTTCTATTCTGTTTATTTATTTATTCTTATGTTAATGCCATACAGTCTTAATTACCAAAACTTTACATAATAAAGACTGATAATTTAGAATGTCACTTCTCCAACTTTTTTCTTTTTCTTTGCAATTGCCCTGACTATTCTTGTCCCTTTACGTTTCTAATCAACTTGTCCATTGAGACACACACACACACACACACACACACACACACACACACACACACACAAATAGCCTACTCTGATTTTTGTTAAAATTGTAGTCAATCTATTTATTAACTTCAGGTAAATTAGCATCTTCTAGATCATGAAATTGGTATATCTTTTGGTTTAATTAGGTATTCTTTCATATTTTTATTGATGCTTGATGTAATTTTTTTGTAATGCCTTTTAGTAGATTGAGGAAACTGCCTCCATTTCGAGTTTACTGTATTTTTATTTTGATGAATGGCTTTTAATTTTATTAAATGCTTTCCTGCTTCTGTTGAGATGAGCATGTGATTTTTCTCTTTTATTCTATCATTGTGGTTAGTTATATCTAAATGATTCCTAAGGAAGTGTTTTTTGTTGAACTATGTCATAAATTTGGAAAAGTGTGCAAATTATACTATATTGCTCAACAAATTTCAAAAGATGAGCATCTGTGTACCAGCACCCAGATCAAGAAATGGAATCAATGTCTTTATTCACATAGGTAGACTTCACTCTGTATGCTTCCAATATGCATGTATTTCTGCTACCATCATTTAGTTAAATGACATCAGTTCCCTGCCAACATGGTTCAGGCTTCACTTACCAAGTTGTGTTAACTATGAGTGATGGAACAAAGTACTAGCTCTTTAGTCCACAAATCACTACATAA